AAACAAATATCTGTGTCAAATTTCAGCTCTTAATCTCAAGTACAATCCGTGCCTGTAAATACTTCAATTTTTTATTTAAAAAGCATTGCAATTTTAACATTTCCAAATTTTTTTTTGTTCGAACTAGTGAGCAGCTTTAAAAATATGAAATGTACAGGAATATGTCTGGAATGGAGTCTTGGTGGTGGAAAATGACAAGCAATCTTTCTAATCGTATCAATTTTTGAATGTTCTCAATGAAAAATGATTTTTTTTATAATTATCTACCTAATTAATTATTTTACTAAAAATGTCATTCAACCTTTGTTCTCGGAAATCTTCTCAGCTGTAAAAAATATTCTGACGACTCATTGAGGAATCATTTATTAATGAGATATAATTGCATAATGATCATTCTTCAACATTTAAGAGGTCATGTAACATTACCATACGAATGAAATTTGCAGTCCAATTATTCCTCAGGGTGAACCCATTACTTCTCAAAAATCAAATTCTTATTCGCTCCATCACCACGTTACGCACCGATTAACAATTTCACTTTCTCAAAATCTTAGATTTACCCTAAAAGACAATTGGAATGAAAATTGTACTCCTATGGTAATGTTACATAGCCACTTGAACGGCGGATGAGTATTCAGTAAATCAATATTGGAAAATAATAGAAAATCTTCATAAATATTGATATTTATGATATTATATATTTGAACTATGAAAAACAATTATTTCTTGTTTAAATTCGGTAAAATTCTCGAGAAAATTACGAACAAATGGATCTTGTCAGAATCAAATGTAATTACTATCCATTTATCTCGTTAAGGAGCGAATCTACAATCAAATATCAAAACAACTTCTTTATAGCTGACGACATTTCCTATAAAAAAGAATTTGTGACATTTCGTCGGGAGATCATCGATCGGCGAGAAAAATATAAAAAAATGATTTTTTGTCGAGGTCACAAAAATCACAAAATTGATAAAATTAGAATAACGACTTGTCATTTCTCATCACCACAGCGTAAAATTGAAGTTCACAATTGAATTATTTCTGCAATTCCAGCCATCCGATAGGTCGGACAAAAACATCGGCGGAATATCGGTGTCAATTATTTTTAAATGTACAAATTAGGGTATTACATGCACGGCTTGAATTTGAGATTTAGAGATGAAATTGTTGGGTCATTTTTTTTATTATTTGAGACTCATCTGGGGGATGAACGCTTCATTTGCTGTG